TGCAGGATTTAACAAGGACTTTGGAGGCTTTGGCAGTGGCTAAAGAAAAACTCTGGTGTTTGAGGAGTTCAGTGAGGCAGGTGTAAAAGACTGTAAGACTGCCTCAAGGCAATTCTGGCAACTCAGGATCCAACTGACACATCTTTCAGCAGAGTGTGGGGATGAGGGAATGAGTCATCCATCACTGAGGGTGAGGTCAGTTAAACAACTCCTTGTTAGCAGCCCCTGGGGTGGATGAGGTTAACCTCAAAAGCCTGAAGGATGCTTTAGGGCTGCCTTGGTTGACTTGCCTCTACATTGTTGAATAGAAATCTGAAGCGATATCTCTGGACTGGCACATTGGGGTAGTGGCTATCTTCAAGAAGGGGGACTGGAGTATGTGCTCCAACTATAGGGGACTCACGCTTCTCAGTCTGGGTAAGTCTATGACAGGGTGCTGGAAAGGAGTCTGTCCATTAGTCGAACCTTGGCTACAGATAGAACAATGTGGTTTTTCGTCCTGTTTGCAGAACATTGGATCAGTCATGAGCACTGGGTAGTGACCAAAAGAACGAGATCACGGATAAAGGTGGTGGAAATTTGCTTTGTTTGAATGGTGGCTGTTCTCTCCCTTAGAGATGGGGTGAGGAGTTCAGCCACCTGGGAGGGGCTCAGAGTAGGGTTGGTTCTCCTTCACATAGAAAGGAGGTAGTTGAAGTGGTTCAGACATTTAAAAAAAGATTCTTCTTGGGCGCATCCTGGGTGAGGTGTTACAGGCATGTCTCGCCAGGAGGTTTGCCTGAGGCAGGCCCAAGACATGCTGGAGTGATTATATCTCTCAGCTGGCCTGTGAACGCTTTGATGTTCCCCCAGACAAGCTGGAGGAGTTGGCTGAGCACAGAGAGGTTTGGGCTTCTCTGCTTAGGCTGCAGCCTGTGACCTTGGTCGGAGAAGAAAATGGATGGAATGGATGGATGGATTTGGTTTTGGCGTTTACATCTGGACAGGATTTTTTTAAAAAAACAAAAATGTAAAATTTCTATTTTCAAAAACAGTACGTATGGACGTAGCCTCAGTCTCTGGTTTCGACACCTTCTCAGATATATGATCATGATGGATAACAATAGTAGTAGTCGTGGTGGTGGGGTATTCTTGTTAGACTTTCTTTTTCAGAACCAGACAAACTTTAATTGGGTGATGTCACAGTGTTTTGAGTTTTGTGTGGAATTATTATTCTTTCCTTTGCGTTAAGACAGGGGTGGGGTAACTCCAGGCCTCGAGGGCCGGTGTCCTGCAGGTTTTAGATGTGTCCTTGATCCAACACGGCTGATTTAAATGGCTAAATTACCTCCTCAACATGTCTTTAGCCCCTTTTCCATTAGTACCTACTCGGATCAACTCGCCACAATTCGACCTGGATAGACAGGTTTTCCACTACAATCCAGTACTACCCAACATGCTTTGTTGTTGTTTTAGCAATGTGTACTGGCGTCCCGCGACATAATTAATATGTGACACCAACGCTACAAAAAAGATGGACGTC